GTCCAACAGATATCTGACTAAATTCGCACAGGATTTATTCTGCCACTTCACAGATCAACGACTGATACTGAACTCTGATAGTCAAAGACGGTGCACGAGCTCACATCGAGCTTCTATTTCGGAAAAATTCTGCAGGTCCAACTCGGTGAGTCATGAAGGCGCGTCTGAGAAAGAGCAGGTCGAGTATAGGCAGCTGAATAGGGAGGAACTCCCCCCTCTTTTTTCGCCGTGTTTGTGACTGCGGGTTCGTGGAGAGAACTAAATGTTCTCAATAGTGGGCTCGTCCATGTGACCCATTTGTCAGCCACGCCCCTCCGCCAGGGCTGCTCGAGCCACTTTAACCCAGTGACACACTTTCAGGACACTGGTGGGGGCGGAGCCAAGCGCCCCGTCGACGTAACAGAGGACTGGGTAACAGCGGTCACGTTGCAAAGCACAACGTGAAGTGGAGAAGCCCCGAAAAGCTCTGCAGTTCCCGCTGCGGCTGCAGGCGAACCGATGAGTTATTCAAGTTGAATAACGCCTCTCCTTCCCCTCACAGCCCACCAGACATGCACGGCCCCGTGTTTCTGTCCACGGACGCCAACTGCCGAGTTTTTCTAGTCAGTCACCACGACTTTGAAATTGCTTCCTGTCGCCAGCGTGTTTTCTAGACCATTCCGTGGACAGGCGTCACCATGAAAACCAACAAAACAAGCTTTGGAAAAAAGTGGCCACTGTTGCGTCCTAACCCTAATAATTAACGATGTATTTAAAATAAGACAACTATAAGTGTAAACATCTGTCCCTTGCATGATTCCAGCTGTGATATCTGCAGTTTATAAATGTGGAATACTTTTTTTTTTCTTTGACATTCATGTCCAACCACACGGCCATACATGGATGTTTATAACTGTTTCGCTAACTGTTTAAACCTGGGCTGAGGTTTAAACTTTGAAGCTGTAGTTGTAAAGTGTAATTGATAGAAATAAACAAATGTTAGTTACAATTTAACTACAATTAGACAAAAAAAAAGGTCACAATAAAAGTATGTGCAGGAGGTTCTATAAGAGAAAAAAAACTGTAAAAGGAAAGAAGTTTCCTTAACTGTCTCTAAATGTTAATATTTTTGCATAGTTCAGTTGTTTAACACTCAGAAAGAAGGTAATCTTTTTAGAAATGTATATTTTTGTAAAACATGGCTTAAGCAAGCACAGGTGCAGCGGTTTGTGTTGTCACCTCACAGTGAGAAGGTTCTTTATTTAAGCTTCATTTTTGTTGGAGTTTGCTCTTCTCCCTCTATCTGCATCGGTCAGGTTCTCAAATTTATCACTACTGCAGAACCTTGTGAAGTGAATGTATGACTGTCTCCATCTTGGACTGGTGACTAGTGGATTGTACCTTCCGCTTGCCCAGAGAGGTATGCTGCAACCTTATCAATGAGGAAAGCAAGGGACAAAATTAACCTCCCCTGGCTCCTGGGGTTCAAGGGTGAGCGTCTGCTGTTCAGGCCTACAGAGCTAAGCCAGCCCACCACCCTGAACAGGCCTGTAGAGGTTGGATTGATTGGTTGTCACTGAAGGAGGCCCTGGCAGCCCAATCCCTGGTTGCAAAAGATTGCTAAAAGAATATGGTGGTTAGTAATAGAAAGCTAATTTGAGCTGCTTCCTTGTCACAAGGAGTCTCAGGCAGATAGCTCTTCATGTTTTGATTTTTTTTT